CAATAAATGAAAATTTGCTGGCTAGAGAACCAGTTTTATTTTCGGCCCTTAAATGGCTGTGAAGGAGAGAAACATTTTATTACACTATCTAGTCCCATACACAATAAGTGAAGCCTGAGAACTGTTTGTTTGAAGAAGAATGTCACATATATTGATTTTCTTTTACTGGCAGGGAAGAAAGAAAAATGTGGATTCTCCTAAACTGGAGTTCATCTGGTATTCTAAATGCTGTTGTTCCTTAACTTTCAGATTTGATGCAGTTTATTATATGTTTCAGTCTATTATTATTGATCTTATCAAAATTAAAGTTTCAGTGAATAATAATGTTCCTGTTTAACACTTTCCTCAAAACAGTATATGCATCGTTCAGTTACTGGGTAACAAAATTTTGGTTGCGCTGAAGCATATCAAAATCTTAAAGCAGCATATCAAAATCAATATAGCAAAGAAATAATCCAAAAGTTTAAAAAATATTTTAATATAGAAACACTTGTATGGAGAATTGCATGGTCATGACAGTTCATGGCTGTAGATATTAAGCTTCTGGCATAAGTCACAGATAACTATCATATTTCATGACGATGAGAACAATGAATTTGAAGGTTTTTGGATAAAGCAAAAATTTCTAATTAATGGTATAGTATGGTTTTAAACTATTGCTGCCAATAGTGAAGAAGATGACAAAAAAGTTACTGAGAATAAAAAGATTTCAATTGACTATTTAATGGATATTCTTGACATACAAATTATTTATATCTATGAAATTAAAGAATTAATGCAAATAATTGACAACCCCTTTTTTATTTATTTTGTAAATTTTAGTAATACAGTTTCGTTATAATTTTTTCATAACATCATTTAATCATTATTTTGCAAACAACCATTGTGTATTTTAATTTTATAATTTCTACATGTCATCTTACTAGATTTGAATTAATCATCTAAAATCCAGAACTTTCTGAAATCTGAAATCACAGAAGTCCTGATGATGCAGGATCTCTGTACTGCAAATGCTGTTATTTTAAATTTATATGTTTAACTGTAAATAAAAAGTTCAAGAATAGGAGAAAAAAGTAAAATAATTCAAAAACTGGACTCTTACACTACATTCTTTTATTGTTAATTAAAATTTTTTTTAAAAAAATCAATGTTTCAAAAATAATATATATATAATAATAATAAGTATCTACAGCCTGATGGAGAATCAATCCTCTAGCTTATTTTAAACAAGGTTCAATGACATAACATTCATTATTGTTAATTAAAATTTTTTACAAAAAAATCAATGTTTCAAAAATAATATTTATATAATTAATAACAAGTATCTTACAGCCTGATGGAATCAATTATCTAGCTTATTTTAAACAAGGTTCAATGACATAACACATAGTCAACTTGGTCCAGCCTTAAATCTCAAAACAGTTTACTACAATACTTATTTTTTATGAAGGTTAAAAAAGGGAAAACTTATCCCAACTCCAAAGATAACAGAAATAAAAATGCTTTAAAAAAATATAAGCATTAGATAGGTGTTTATTAGAATCTATGTTGACAAATTAATAAGCAATTTTTGTTTTTAATTTAGCTTTTAAAACAGTCACATATGGTCTATCATATGTTTTAATTTATGACCTGCAAGAATTCATACAATCTTGAATCATATGCATTTGCCAATCATTACCATATTTTTACATATTTCTACACTAATAAAAGTTGCATACAATTCTCAGAGGGAAAAAAAAAAAAAAAAAAACATCATTTTTCAATGTTAAGAGTGTAATGCAGGTTGTGCTCTGACCTCTACCTTAGATTTGAAATTAAATCACTCAAATATATATTAAAAATTTTTTTAACAAGTTAAAAATGTAAATAAAATATTTACTAAAAATTCCATAACTATAATCGTAACAATGATTAGAAAAAATTAATGCTATCAACAATTTCATGAATGATCAACAACAGAATCTTTGTTGCAAATAGGAGGTGATTTCTCATAGGGGGAAAGCATTTAATTCAAGATTCCCCCCGTCCTTTGGTAGCTTTTACTGCTACCAAATACCTGGCCTCAAAAGCTTGAGACAGTATGAAAATTGAAGCCCAAAATTAAAGATGTTTCTAACTTGGAATTTTTCAGAGCGTTCGTGTTATTAAAAACATATCCACATCAGTCCTATGAAACACTGCTCTATGCATTAAGATGGGCACCAAAGTCTCTAAGAATATTTTTATCCCATGCATACTATAGTTAAGGAATAATTTGTTATGTTTAACAGTTATAATTTTATAAAAATTTAATATGCACAGAAGTGTCCCATAGCTATGCTTCAATAAAAGTTAAAATAATTACAAAGAAGCCTTTTCACATTTGAAGAAATATAATTGAAATTTCATTTCTGATGGTACTAATAACAGATAAACCAAACAATCGGCTCAAAATATGTTTTTAATGACACGAACGCTCTGAAAAATTCCAAGTTAGAAACATCTTTAGTTTTGGGCTTCAATTTTTCATACTGTCTCAAGTTTTTGAGGCCAGGTATTTGGTAGCAGTAAAAGCTACCAAAGGACGGGAGGAATCTTGAACCAAATGCTTTCCCCCTATGAGAAATCACCTCCTATTTGCAACAAAGATTCTTGTGTGTAGTTTAATGGATTCTCAGAGGGGTGCATCTATGTCGCAAAAGGAAGACCTTTGAAAGAGATAGTGGTTAAAACCCTAGGGATGTCAAATTTGACATTTCACCTCACTTTTCAGCCTGGAAAATGGGGGAAAAAGACATGGCCACTAAAGTGGACAACCCTGTCCTCTCAAAGAGAGGACTCTATGGCCACTATAATGGCCATCCCGTTTTTAAAAGGTTAAGATATTAACATTTTGCTGTGAGAGCATCTGCTATCCACATAGAATGCCAAGTGATGACATTTTATAAGATTTACAATTTTTCAAAATAGTAAAATCTTAGTTTTCAGAAGTGCTGCAATTTAAAGTAGACTGACCATATTTCTGTCCTACAAAAACAGGATGAAGATTAATTATAATAACAAAGAAAAATGACAGTCAAAGTTTAAGCTATAAGACACGCTTAGATCCTTTAGTGAATTTTGCTTATAATTCAGTAACTGATAAAACTTTACACTTTAGACATGAACTTTATTTTACCTGAATTACACCATGAATATACATACTACCTTCATAGAGTTTTCTTAGAAAATTTTAGTCTTTCATTAAATTATCATTAACTTGTCATGCTCTATAACACAGTTTTTCATCACAACTAACATTGCTTTTATAGTCTGAACATCCACATACTGTTCATAACAATAAATATTCTAGAATGTAAAACTTCTGGCTAAAAATAAACAAATTCTTAGTATTACAAGTCTTAAAAATCTAAGCATCTTTTGCTCACTTTAGAAAAAAATCTAATATGACATGCCCACTATTCCATTAAGCAGGCATGTTAAAACCCTTGTCTTAATCACAAATATCAGTGTGTACATATAATCTCAAGAACTTAAAAAATTGTTGAGATAAAAGTACTTTATCAACCTAAGTTAAGAAATAGCCAGCCCATTTGCATATGGAATTAACAGAAATTCAAAGATACTCAACTACAAAGCAAAACTTCAGGTAAGGGTACTCCCGAATTTTAAATACTTGCCTCAATATACTTCCAATTACAGAAGTAGCCAGAAGTATTAAGCTGGGTATGGAAGTCTGCATACTTTCGGTACTGCCAATTCCAGTAAAAAAGATAGGTGCACAACTGGATGTTATAGCAGTCCTATACACAAAATCTCAATGTTCTATTCATTTTTGAGGTATGCAAGTTAAATACGTACGAGCAGACATCACAAAAATATTCCTTTTGAAATAAGAGTCCTTTTCCATATGTACAGACAGCATACAGGGGAGGGGGAACTGCCAAAATGCATTCGGCAATGATCAAAATAGATATTTTCATTGAAATCAAAAAGTTTCCCCCTCCCCCCCCCAATTACAATACTTTCTTTACTTTGTACAAAAAAGTAAAACTGTATGTTTAAAATATAGGTACGGTTCTCTTGCAAATGATAACCACAGTTCCAAGCAAAATTCTCCAAACATTTATTGGCATAAATGACACTTTTCTTAAGAAAGAGAAAGAGAACAAAGTTCATCAAACATTAGCCTCCTGGTACATGGTTACTCGTCTTTTCTTTAGTATACCAACATAGGTACTGTTCTGTTATCAGGACCGGATTCAGAAATGCATGTACGTATGGATGTGTGTTTCCATGTATGCATGTATATATGCAATTACAAATGTGTGTGTATACATAAACACATATATGCACATATAATACACACATGCATACACTATACATTTCTGATCTGGTCCCGATAACAGAACAGTACTCAAAACGTATGTAGAGCTTTTATTAAAAAATAGAACAAAATAGCTATTTTTATCAAAATGACAGGAATGCTGGGGAATGTCATAAAAATGGTACTGTATTGTTCAAAATGATATATGCGGTCAGCTTATTTTATATGGATTTTTAAAATGAAGATCATTCATTGCTTATGTAACTGAGCAATTTTAAAGAAATGAATGTATGACTTAATAATTTACATTTTAAATAATATCTATAATTTACATAATTTAAAGTGGACTTAATTCATACATTTCATATTACACCTAACTAACAATTTGTACAAACATTTGCACCATTATTAGAATAAATATGTTGTAATATCACGTATTACATACTTTAAGACATAATTGCTTATATATCACTCAACAGTAACTTTTGTTACTAACAGCTTAACCGACCAAATGCAAAACTTCAGAATCCACCAGAATGACTAAAATTATGAAATTTTGCACCATATTTTGAAACTTTGTAGTTTTTTCATACTTACTATAAATACTTGATGAACGTAATCCGCTCATAAAAATATTAAGTTTTATATTCCCCTGGATGGTATATTTTAAATAAGTAGATAAGTAACTAACCACTAGCTCCAAACAGGCTTGTTCCTGTATTAGTAGCCTGACCAAATAATCCAGTTCCAGTGGTAGTCGTTCCAAAGCCTCCAAATGCAGGACGAGGAGCTCCAAAAGCAGATGTACTGCTGCCTCCGAATAAGCTACCTGAGCTTTGAGTTGAAGGTGTTGCACTTCCAAATAAGCCACCAGAAGTAGATGTGGCTCCAAATCCTAATATATAAAGGTATTTTAGTTCAAAATATTTAAATATTATTAACATCATTTAATCCAAGGGTTCCCCTAACCAGCAGTGCTCACATGCCAAGGAATGCAAAGTAGCACTCTAGTTTTTGTTTCACAAATGTAGCACAAATGTTTCATTTTTGTTGATTATTAAAATTTGATTATACAACTTTGATTTTTTTAAACTGCTTTAGGAGCTAGAAGAACATATTAAAGGTATTTTAGTGGTGCAGGACATGAAAAAGGTTGGAAACCTGTTAACTATATTATATTAACCATATTATAGAGATGGCAGTACAGTTTTTAGAACTACTTAACTATCAATAATTATTCCAAGCTTAAAAATGATTATTTTGAAATAGAAATGCATAGAGTAAGAATGTGCTCTATGTACACTAATAACAAAATATTAATTAAGCTTTTCAAACCAGTTATGATATGTCATTTATATTCATCCATTTATAATAAAAGAATATAATAAGAAAACAGAAGTAAATTAGTTCTATTAGCACACTTTTTTTTAGTTTAAACACATTACACAGCGTAACACATTTTCATTTCTACGTATCTGATGTTATTTTTCTTAGGTTTAGAGAAGATAAGGAAAAAGTCATTTAACTTAAAAATGTTGGTATGGTCAGTGCCTTTAAGCTACAGGATAATGATTTAACAGAATGGAGATTTTCATTAAATTTCCTTTATCTTACTTTTATAGCACACAGGAATTTGATGATTCTCAATTTAAATAAAGGAATTATCAGAGGCCAGTAGGAAGCACTGCACAGTACATACTGATTACATGACCACTTATTAATTTAGTTCATTATCATGGGAAAGTATAGTAAGTTTTTGTAAAAAAGATGGTCTCAAGGTCTAAAAAATATCATACCCTTACTTTTCTACTTCTAAAACACATTTACTAAGAGGAAGATGGTGGATAGTTAGCAAAATCTAATATTAAGATATGCAATGCCTGCAAGACCTACTTCAGGATATACAGATGGGATACAAAATAATATGAATACCAGTGAAGCAACAGTAAATCTATATTAATAGGGAACATGATTTACCCTTTTGCTTGAATATATATAATACATTTCTTCCACACAGTGGTCTCTAGTTCCATACACAGAATTCGACCACAAAGTTTTGATTCTAAATATCCCCACAAATGTTCGATAATGTTCACATCAGAGGTTTATGGGGCCAAATGAGATGTCCTATTTCAACTTGGTTGCTTGATCATACCCTTCTACTTTTAGGATACTATATCCTTCAACATTCATCTATCCTTATCAATCAACTTTATCTTTTGGCCCCTCTCCCTGTTGTGTTTTGAAAACATTATCTTGCCATCTTTGGTGTAAGCTGCCACTCCACCTAAAGGTACTCCAAAAGACTGGTACCTTCCCCTTCAAGATCATAAGGGGGCAGACTTCTGTGGCAGGTGGTGAGGTTGCATTACAGGTGTGAAATATAGCATAATATTTTTGGGGGGGGGCAAGTGATCATATTACTTTGTACCCTATCTGTATTTTAGTGAATTTCTTACATGTTTTAAAGAATAACAAATACTACTAAGAGGACACTATGTTCTTGATGGGTTTTCAAGATGATTTAAAATTTTCTTCTTACTTTTGCCTGTAGGACATCAGAAACCATAAACCTACTATAAAAGCAAGACTAGTCATACCAGAAGCATTCTCTGTAAATATTCACATTTTCAAATGAAATTCCTTCCTACATTCCCAGAAGGTCCTAATGTTATAATTTGTGTGTTATATCGATCAAGGCTTAATGAAGCAAATTTTGTTAAAGATGTAGACGTAGCTGAACTTCTTTAAAATCTTCAGGACTTAATCTCAACATTAACGTGTAATATAAAATAAATATAAAAGCAGGAGTCTTATGATAAACAAAATGATTAAATGTAAATAATATAACTGAAAATGAAGCGAGACAGCTTTGTTACCTCTATTATTAAATAGGGATCTAGGTAACTGTAAAGGGAGGGGGGGAATGCCAATGAAATTTTGGTAAAAAACTAATGCAAAATTGATTGCATAATGAATATCACAGCAGCAAACCTTGAAATCTTAATCAGGAGATTTTTGAGAGAAAATGTGAGGATTTCCACTGTGACACGACATAATTTCAGAGGAACTCCGAACTGATTTTAATTTGCATTATAATGCATGGATCAGGTTATTGAACTAATTGTATTCATTTCTGATGTACAACATATTAGAATTTAACTGGGTATTCTAAATTTTATATTCTTTGGCTAATTTCATTTTTTAATTTTCTTAAACTCTTATTCTGAGAAAATCCTGAGCAGTGAAGGAAAGCTTTTGTTTACTGAAGTACTTTTAAATACAATGAAAATAATTAATTTACAAAGTATTTGGGTGGATAAACTTGGTAATGTACCATATATTGAAGTAAACAAAACTAAATTAACTGATTAAATACTGCTTGAATCGTCATATAAAAATTTACAAATGTCTAATGTAGATTAATGCAACTCTGACCATATGAAATTTAGTAATCAGTAAAACATTTTAAGAAAAAAGTACAATTCATATGAAATAAAGTTTAATAAGAACAACTATTCATTAAATTATTAGGGATGGGAAAATGGAATTTTCTAATTAATATTAAATTTCATCAATTTAATAAACATTTTCCTTAAAATCAAAAACCGGGAGATCTACTAATAGACATTATCTGGCCATGTAATGAGTCAACAAGGTGAGCATTTTAATTAGAACAGGTTAGACAATTAATATTATTATCAAGGATAAAGTAATGGGAATATGAAAGGATATTTTATGTTTGGAAGCAGATAAGTGAAAGTAATTTCAAATAGAAGTGTAAAGCTAAAAATTTCTAAAACATTCTCAAGTCACAGCTAAAAAAATATGAATGGTAAAATTTTTGTAAGACTCACAATTGCATTTTTAGCAGAGTCCCTTTTTTTTAATAATTTTTTATTTTTTTATAAATATACATTCTCAACATATACTATGCTTTTTGTGTTTTTACATCAATATCACTCCTAAACATTATTGATTTCTCATTGATGTAATATAAAGTGACTTTCATCACAAAACAGAGTTTCCATGGAAGAATACTTTTTCTCTAATAAGATATATACATCAATAAAGAAAAGCACTAAGTGGTTATTTTATGATTACAAAAGCAATTTTTTGATTTAGCAGAGAGAGAGCAACAACTATGAACTGAAAAGGCATGTTTTAAGATGACTGTATATTTGATTGCTCTTACACAAACTTACAGAAGCAAATCTAAACTAAAAATGAATATTAGAGTGTTTTTTAAGGGGAAAAAAAAAAAAAGAGAGAGAGAGAGAACATGTCTCATACATATATGTGTTTCTAATTAGTTTTGTTCTATGTAAATAATTCTGTTTTTTAATAAGTAAACACATCTGACTTATGCAATAAAAATAAAACTAACAAAGATATGTGTAGTTCAAAGCAAAAAGATGTATGAAATGCTCGAATAAAATCTATTTTTTAATAAAATAAATTAAAACCTATTTTTTGATGAAAAAAAAATCTATCTAGAATGTTAGTGTCTACAAATGTTCTGACAAGCTTTTGCAGTTCCAGACTTATAAGTTAAAAGCTTATTTTAAAATTAACAACGAAGAATTAATAATTTTCAGCTGTATCTTTGGCTAAATATATCTCAGCATTTTCAACATTTTTACTAATTTTATTGCTTAGTAAAACAGCGATTGCAAAATCAACAGACTTCACATATAAATTATCATAACTCTATTTTGATTCATTAAAACCCTAGATCAATATTATGATTTTTCATGCAGCATCGAATTTACCCACATAAAGCTTAAGCAATAAAAGTCTTATATAACACTTGATGTTATTATTAATGTTTATATCTGCATTACAAATGCAAATATTTATTTACAAATCCAATAATCTTTAACAAAATAGTTTTCAATGCATCTTAATTAAGGATATTTTTTATGAAGAAATTGCAATAAATGCTGAAAAATTAGATAGGACACACAATAAAAAATTTTCAAATATTGAATACTTTATTAAAAATCTGTATCTTAAGATTCCTCTAACATCATAAATACGTTTCAGTGCTCTTTGATTACACTTACTCAAACATTCCGATACAAAACACATATGAATAATGATGACTATGTACTACAATAATGAAAAATGTGAGACAGAATTTTAAAATATTTAAAGATGCATTCAAAATGTATTTTAAAAGTGCAATATTTTTATAAGAACACATTGATAGATATTGCCTTAGCAAGACGATGAACAGTCAATAACAGAGAAAAAATTACCCTCTTCAGCACTCAGTGCTTAAAAAGGTCACATTTTATATAAAAGAAAATCAAAAACCAGTTATACTAGAATTTCCACATTACACTTGCATCTTATATGAAGTAGCTTACTTATATGTACTGTTTCTATCAACCATGTAGTGGTAATAGCATGCACAGATATTATTTAGAAACAATGCTTTTCTAATATCAAACTTCAGAACTTCTGATTCACAGGCAGGTATCAAAAAGACCAAATCAAAAAATATGCTGGTCTTGATAAGGGGCGAAATATAGCACTTAGGACAAATGATCAAGTGCTAACTACTTTTTTTTTTCCCCACCAAAATGCATGTACAGCTACAGTTTGAAGCAAGGCCAGGACCTGTGCATTCAAGTAGGCATTCTAATATATTAGGCATTGCTTGGGCCTTGCCAACTGCCAACATTCTGCCCTGGAAGAAGAGAACCTCTCGGGATGTGATTTAAGGGTATTTCACCTCTATCACCAATCCTTTAAAGAGATTTCTGTTTGTTGTGTTTTTTGCCATACAGACACTATACACTTACAAACATCCATGCCCTCTCCAGGATTTGACACTGGGCCGTTCGGTATGGCAGTCAGTGCCACTAAGCATTGTCTCATTTGGGTGGCTCCTCTAGCATGTAACATAATCTATCCAAAATTACCATTGTTATGTGAATGAGGCCAACTGCAATCTGAGGCAAGTTTGTAAGTCCAATGCACTGGATGGCTTAGTTGATTGAGCCCCAGCATATCAAGAGGTTGCAGCCCACTGCATTGAAAAGCATATGTCCAAATTCAGGTATACAAAGGGATATAAAAAAACTTCAGGTGAATATGTTTGTAAGTCCAATGCAAAAATGATATATGTTGAGCGCCAGCACATCTAGAGGTGTATATGCAAGCCTAGCCCTACTGCAATAAAGGGCACGATTTATCAATGCTGATACACAGAGATGTGCAAACTTGGAAGAGTTCAGAAGCACCATCACCCTGTGGCATTATTTACATTTTGTAGTAAAAAAGAGAAGAGAGACAGATCATGTCAAACCAGCTGTAATCACTAATGCAACTCTGTACACATTGATATGATGGCATCGACATTTAACGATGTAAGCCAGAAGCATTATCTGTCAGTCCACAGACATATATCACAGAAATTCAGCAAAAGCTTGATTTTGGTCTGTAGCTAAGTGCAACATAACTAGAACATATGGCCTGCCAGTGGCCAAGTTGATGAGACAACTGAATATTGGCAATACAACTTGGACTCAAATTCTGGGGAATGAACAAGCTGTAAACTGTCCATGCATAATGTGAAGACAGTTTCCATCATAAAGTTCTCTATGAAGAAATTTTTCCTCTTATGCTGACAGCACTCGCATGCTTTGAAATATTCTTACTTACCAAATGTCCCTGTGCTTGTTGATGCAGGGGCACCAAATGCAGTAGATGTCTGACCAAACAACCCAGTTCCAGTTGCTGGTGTGGAACTCCCAAAAAGGCCACCAGTGTTTGGGGTAGCAACTCCAAATGCTGAAGCTCCAAAGACATTGCCTGTTGCAGGTTTTGCTCCAAATGCAGTAGTATCTGTTATTCAAACAATTTTTAAATACACTATTTTCAATGTCTGAAACAATATAGTTTTGATCCTATGGCATTATATGGTTAATTTCATATTAAATATTTTCATACAAAAAATGGAGCAATAATTTAATTATAAAAAAATTGTGATATATATATGTGAGTGTATATGGCATCACTATATATATATAATTCCCCATAAATATATAAAATTAGTCAAAAGTTAAAAAAAATTTAAAAATGTGAAATACAAAAACCAAAAAAATAAATAGGAAGAGGATTGCAATCAAATATGATATAACGTTATCAAGAATCCAGAGGAGGGACATCAGACTAAACTGAATACACCCTTTTTTTTGAAAACCACTACATTTTTGTTATCCAAAACCAGCTGATGAACCACTTAAAATTTTTTAATTATAACAGTTCACCCGAAAATAAAACTTGGAATGGTTCATCAGTTGATTTTAGATAACAAAAATGAAGTGGTTTTCAAAATGGAGGGGGATTCAATTCAGCCCGATGTACCTTCTCGTGATAATGTTACACCAGATTTGATTGCAATCCTATTCCTATGGATTTATTTTTGAGATTTTTTGTATTTCGCATTTTTTTTATAAAAAACTTTTGGTTAATTTTACATACTTATAGGGAATTTTGAAATTTATTGGTTTTAACCCTTTCAGGATGGGCATCCCATCCAAGCATCACTAGAGATTGCATTCAGAGGACGGGTGATGTGCATACACATTTTAAGCTGGAACCATTAGATGAAGACCATTAGATGGCATCATATGTCCATTACTTTTAAAACGAACAAAGTTTTAGCTTCCTGACCTTGAGTTTGATATATTCTGCCTGATTTGGAATTTTACTCATCAACTGTTGCGAGAGGGGTGGGAGGGAAAGCATAAACAGAGGTGGGCTCTTTAAATCGCAGTGTGTAAATGCGAGTGCTAATATAAACATTCGCGTGTCTGATTTATATCCAATTCCTTTTTTTATTCTAGTTTTTTTTCCTCTACTATGTACGGTCTTTTAGGGTTACTATGTGGAGTTCTGTTACGTTTTTCATTGCCTTAACATATATTTCCGTTTCTTCTCTTTTTTATATCAAAAAGCCTTCACCTCCAGACTATTACGGCAAGAAGGTGCTATTTATCAGAGGAAAAATACTCTCATATGGTTAATGAACCATTTACTAACACAGATGAGAGTGATGATTCATTTTCTAAAGAGTCAGAAAGTGATACTTTTTCTAAGAGTTCGAATGTGATACTTTTTCTGAGAGTTTGAAAGTGATACTTCTCCATGCTTCGAGATTTACCACACTCAGTCTTCATTTTAAATCTTGTTACTTCTTACTATAAATAGTCTTATGTTGTTTTATTAATTTTAAACTTTATTGATGGATTTTATCAATTAAAACTTTGGAATAATTTGAATAGTGCTTCCGAAAAATATTTTACAAGATAAGACATTTTTAAAGTATATTTTCACGTAAAATAAAGAAAGAAAGGTTATTAAAGTGCTGATTTTAACATATATGAGAGCTCAAGTAATAATCTAAAAAGACACCAAGAATTACGATGCTAAAAGTGAAAATTTTTATAAAATTAGGCTTAGCAATGGAAAATCCAGTACGGTGACTGCCTTCAATTCCCTTTCGTCCCACACGTGCGCCTTAAACAAAGGTGTTCCATCGCGAAAGGGTTAATTTCAGTTCTTGTGGGTATTTGTGGAATTGGTTCTTAATTTCATTTTTTTGGGCTCTCTCTCTTACATATATACATATTATGTGAATAATTAAGTGAAAATCAAACTAAACTGCAGAGAAACCCTTGCAAAATTCACTTTTAAAGCAGCTCATGTTTAAGTTCATATAGAGACATTAAAATGCAGTTGCTCAGAAAAGTATCAAACTACAGTTATACTGATTAACACATTGAGACTGCCATGGCACTTTTCGGATTCCAGTCTGAGAAGCCAAATCGATTTAATCATATTATATTATTAAAAATACTAATTACGGTTTGTAACAATCATTAAAAAGTTAACAGGATTTTTTTTTTTTTTTTCTTTTGTAGAAAAAAGTTCCTACGAATTATCTTGTAGTCAGCTTTTGTAAGACAAGGCTCTTCGCAGAACCCACTATGAGTTGATTCATACAGACATGCTTTTACTCATCGCTTCGATACAACTAAAACAAGCGCTTAGCGAGTAAGTAACTCGTAGAGGCGCAAAAATGGCAAGTCAAGAAACTTCCTAAAGAAGAGTGCTAATATGAGTTATCTTGTGTTGGGCAGTCAACGTGTTAGTTTACGACATGAAAATGTCTTAAACACTGCTGCCTTCAAAGTACCACCCTTCCACCAACAGACACTCCTGCCAAATTTCATACAACAGTTTTAAATATTTCTATAACATTTTTTAGTTATTCATACAACAGCATCCTTCAATGTTGTTTTTACAGCATTTTCATTACAGATAAATTATTCATTTGCTCATTCCTTCACCTTCGAAAAAAAATATTAAGAAGATGCAAAACCTAGGAAATATAAATAAATATGAAAGTACCATTCAATCCATTTTAGAAAAATCAATGTAAAGTTGTGTTCAGGATAGGCTCTCCAGCATTTTTGGTCGCTGGGCAATCAATATATTCAGCATGCCATATAAATTAAAAATAATGAAAATTCATAGAAGTTGCAGAACTTTTATTTAGTTGCAGCTTGTGAGACTAACTTAGCCAGCTGTAAATATCGAATATGCTTGAAGCTTACACTTATCCTTCCTCTTTTACATAATGTCTTGTTTAATGGCTTCAATACTTGAAATTGTATTCCTTGCTGCTAATAGCGCTTTGGGGAATCAACTTGCAATAAGTTCCTTAAGTTATGACTTGAACATCTTTCTACCATAATTTCACAGTTTCAGCACACTGCCTGTAATTTTCTCTCTTTAGAAAAAGGTAGAGATTTTTGTACATGTCAACAGCATTTAGTTTAAGAGTCATAAATTAACTAGAATATTTCATTCCACATAATGATACTTGTGGAAAATAATGTCTTTGACAGCATTTGTTGCAGCGAAGTTGCTATATATACTCATTTTTACATGAAACTGGTTTCAGGGATCAGCAAAGCAGCTGAAATTCTTAATATATAAGAAGAGCTGCTATTATAACTTTGACATCAGAAATAAATTTTTCTTCAAATAACTGTTATAATTGCTAAGCAAAATAATTCTTTATTAAATAAAGCACATACAACAATTTCATAAAAAAAGATCATTTCGGGCTGCAGAAAAATGTGTTGCATTATTAATTCTACATAGTATCATAAATACTATTAATTTTATTAAACAAATGAAAATTTATTACCCACCTGAACAGCATAATTCCCACACATATGTTAATACTAATATATATAAATTATAACATACATATCATCTCATTTTTAAGTCACACATTTTTTTTTTTTTTTTTTTTTTTAGTACACACCTAAATATCTTTGGCAAGACAAAAAAAAATCTGAAAAGTTTCAGATTTTAAATTATGTCCAAAGTTTTTTTTTTTTTTTTTTTTTTAAATGTTCTGTGTGTTACCTTTATTTATTAAATGTCATGTTCAGCATACTCAAACTATAAAATTCAGTTCAACAGCAATATTGCAAATGAATTTTAAAATGAGCATATCTTTAGAATTTTCGATACAGAGTCTCGCATGCTGGCGATAAAAATGTTTTTTTCATACAGTGTTGCCACTGTTCGCTTTGAAATCGTTAAGTTTCTTTAATCCAAAATTTGTTGAAGTGTTAGAAATTATGAAATCAATAATAAAACAAATTTCATATTCAAATTGGGGCTTCCACATGCCCATATTCTATGGAAGATTACGTTATTCAAATTTTGATGGCTCTAGCTGTTGATGGTGTTTTATCACAATGTGAGAAACATACATACATTCATGCAGATTCTTCATTATTTAATTTCTTTAAATATAATACAGGGTGATAATATTTGGTGGCAACAATTTGAAAAGTGAAACAAAGCTTATTGTGAATCGACGCAAAATGCCAAACCGAAATTAGCCCATATTTTACCATTGTCCTATATGTAGGACAGTACATATTTGATGGCTGTACAAAAAAAGTAATAATGTTTAAACTATTTCTTTCACATTATATTATTGCTAAAAAGCTGCTTGTTATATTAGCTATTTTCTCTTACGTTTTGACTTTTATAAACCTGTTTTTTAAAAACATTCAAAAAGGACTAATTTTTATTTTTTGCATTTTATTTTTTTAATATATAAAAAAAAATAAATAAAATAAAAAGTTTTGAATTTATGTTAAATAAAATAGGTCTCCATTAATGTGAATGACAAAAACTTCGAAAGAAAAATATATTATAGATCCTTATTTTACTTTCTTTTTTAGAGCGTCCTATATATAGGACAATAGTAAAATCCACTATTATATGACGTTAAAACATAACACCGCTTTGGAGTGAAAAGGTTACGTCCATTCCATCCCCTCGGTGTAAAATGTAGCAATCAATTATTTCCTGCACTGCATCTCCTTTTGTAAAGAGTTATATTTAGCATCTGAAAGCCATTTCACACGTTTTATTTGTATGAAAGAAATTTACTTTTGTGAATGTTTATTTTGTAAGGTATATTTATTTTATGCATTCAAAATGAGTCAAAAATTTCTAACAACTGAAGAAGCTTTGGAATATTTTATTACATTAGATGATGAAAATACTGAGCCGGAAATGGTAATAATACCACCTGATCCAGATGCAGTCAGTGACAATAAAGAAATAGACGATGTCTGCACTAAATGCACATAAGCTATTTGTGATGAAAATGCAGAAGGAACTACAGAAATAGCAGAAACTGTGGAAATTTTAGTAGGAAATGGAGATGATGAAATAAACATGCGTGCCAAAACTTTATTGGAAAGATTGCGTTCCTAAATATTCACATGCTTCAGAAATATTTTCTCAAGATTCTAGTCAGTCTCTAACTGATTTTGTTTCTGGAAAATCTCCTACAGAACTCTTTGAGTATGTTGCCAAAAAAATGATAGACAAAGGTGTTATTGATTGTAACAGATACGCTGGGCAGACAAATAATCATAATTTTTCACTGACAAAACAAAAGAACTCAAGCAATTCTAAGGTACACTTTTTTATAGCGGCTACCTGAAAAAATGTCAAATGTCCTGGGAAAACACACCAGACACAGGAACTATACTATTTAGTCGAGCAATGCCACGAAATAGATATTTTGAAATCAAGCGGTACATTCATTTCATTCACAATAGCACCATTACCTCTATTTACAAAGTACATCCAACTTATACGATTTACTGAATGATGCTTTACAACAATTAGGTGTATTTTAAGAACATCTAAGCACTGATCAAAGAATGGTGAGCTATTTCGGTCGACATGGTTGTAAAATATATATAAACGAAACCAAAGCTCTTGATCTTATAGAATAGTGAGAGGCTATAACAGTCAGCTATTTGAGATTATCAATACCTAGGAAAATTCAAGGCAGAACATTAGGTGCGCAGCAGACAAATCCGGACTTCTTGCAAATGCAAACTGATCATGTGATTGTCAAAAACCCTGATGGACGTCAACGACATAGTCAATTAAAAAAATTGTACTAAGAAACTGACAACTATTTGTAAAAAATCTAATATTGGCTAATGTTTCAGTTGTTTTTTACTATTCCATTCAAAAGAATGGGCTTGAAAGAAAATAATGCCTTGTAACTTCATAGCACTGGATTTGACCATCGTCCTGTATATAGGACAGCCTGTAAACTCAAAGAAAATAAAAGTTTCGTATGTTTTTCAATTTATTATCTTTTCTTATCTATTTAGAAAACAAAATTAGAAATTTCAAACAAAAATTTTAATTTCTTCGATCATTGGTAAAATATGGGTAAATAGTCCTTCAGGGCAAACTGCCTCTTTGGACTAAAAAACTTTTTGTAGCACTTCTGTAAAACAATTTAATTTCACACCCCCCCCTCCAAATTAGAAAATTTTCTTGGATACATATTTTTAAAGCTCAACTCATTTTTATTATTTTACATCATCTATATGCAATTCCTTTGCTTCATGTATGAGATGTGACAATTAAATAACCGGACTGTGCATGCCCTAGCCATTAAGCTTGGTGTGGAGGAGTGGAAATGAAATGCAGTTGACCTTGATGCTTCTAGTGCAGGTGGCACATTATTCCCTTCCTCTATCTAGTTCAGTTTGTTTTTCATTCTTGTTTGAATAAGATGTTGTGTCGAAGTGCTCCAATTATGACAGGTTAAAAAAACAATCAGCGCATAAATTTGAAATTCCTCCTGAAATTAAAAAAAAAAAAAAAAAGCAAACTAAATATTGTAAATTGTTAAAGGAGGTATTTGGAGATAATTGCATGGCACATAGTTAAATCTTTGAATGGCAGAAACGATTTTTGAAATATCAGAAGATTATGAGCGTTCTGGTCGGCTTGTGACATCAAGAACTGAGAAAACATAACAAAAATTAATGAATTCATGCATAAAGACCGACACTCAAGTGTTCAGATGATGTCCGATATTACAAATATTGACAGAGAGACAATAAGAAAAATTCTGACCCAGGATTTGCATATGACAAAAGTTTGCGCAAAATTGGTACAAAAAAACCTGACATGCAAGCAAAAAATGAACAGGAAAATCATTTGCTCTGACATTATGGAACACTTCCCAGAAAATCTTGAATTGATTGAAAAAGTAATCACATGTGACGAAATGTGGATTTTTCAGTACAACCCTGAAACTAAACGACAATGAATGCACTGGAAGACCCTCACATCACTAAGGGCCAAAAAAGTTCAAATGAGCAAGTCCAAACTGAAAATCATGCTCATCTTTTTTTTTTCTTCACGTTTAATGGCATCATCATAATTGAATGGGTACCTTAAAGCCAAATGGTAAACCAGCAGTACTACATTGAGGTCTTGAGAAAGCTTACAGAAAGACAGAAAGAGTACGGAAGGAGAAGCCAGATCTGTGGAGCAGCAAAACATAGATTTTGCATCAAGATACCCCCCCGGCACATAATGCACTCTCTGCAAAATAGTTCACAGACAAACACATTACTGTGCTCAAGCATTCACCATACTCTTCAGGTCTTGCACCATGTGAGTTCTACTTGTTTACAAAAGTGAAAAGTACACTGAAGGAAACACATTTTTAGTCTGTGGAAGAGGTGATGGCAAAAACAGCAGATTTACTGAACAAGGTGACACCTACTGACCTTCAATACTGCTTTGAACAGTGAAAAACTCATATGCAGCGATGTATTGATAGGGAAGGAAAGTATTTTGAAGGGGACTTATAGGTATTTGTATAATGTTTTCAATAAAGCTAATTTTTAGGACTTGTCCAGTTATTTAATTGTCACACCGCATATGCTATAATTTTGCCTTGAAATTCCAAAAAGATATGTAAATCATTCAAAGTTTTGCAGTTGCGGTATACAGTACAAAGTCTGTAATTTGGAAGTCCATTATCCGGAATGATCTATAATCCGGACCTCAAAGCCACAAACTTTCTTTTTTGTATGCTTTACGCACGCGCTTTTAATGCTACGCATGTGCAATTTATGTTTACGCAGCATGCACGTTTAGCACAAAAAACGAAGCAACTTAAACAACTTACACTGAAAGAAATGTTTAATAAAGTAAACAAATAAATACTGTCAAAAGTCGTTAATCCGGACTCCTCGGGACTTCGGCGATTCCGGATTATAGATCATCAGTTTAAACCTGGTAAGATGGCATGCAGAAATTATAAAATTAAAAATATGAAACCGTAATTTATGAAATAAAGAACAATTATGATCTAAAGGGTATCAAAATTTAAAAAAAAAAAAAAAAAAGCTTAATATTTATTTGTTTACTTTATAAAACATTTCTTTCAATGTAAGTTGTTTAAGTTGCTTCGTTTTATGTGATAATACTTTCTCTTTAATTCCATAAACAGACATTATTTATTCTTCAGTTACAAAGTTCCGCTGTTGAAGTCCTATAATTGGTGTGTCGAGAATACCGACTATGTTGTCAATCGAAATTTTTTCATTTTCAATAACCTCTGTGTCACTTTCTTCACTATCGGAAGCGAATTATAATGACGAGGAATTTGATTTAAATCATATCAAAGATGGAGTACATCGAGATGAAATACTACATTTAGTAAGGAATTATAAGCCAAATAAAATAAAAACATCTGCTCTGAAGATAAGGATAGTGCTGACAGATCAACTTCCAATTCATTGCGCACCGTTTCACCGATTCAAGAGCACAGTTTCCTCATCTAAGAAATTTATCTCTCACTGAAATTTACATAGTCTAAAAGCTTAGTTTTTAAAAAAATTTCTGCATGATATATTTGCTCTAAAACTAAATTTGAGGAGAGAAAATGACTCTACATTTCCTAAAGCTAGAAATTCCTGATTTGAGAATAAAAAATCTGGACTTCTGGTTATATCCAGACCAGAGTCATCCCTGATAAATACTGAAAAACAAGCATTTAAGCTTCTGAATGGTGCTTATCATAATATAGTTAACAGCTGATAAATAAGTTTTATAAAATGCCTAAATATGATATAAATTATTTACTTACTCTGACCAAAAGGTGTACTTGTGGTGCCAAAGGAACCTTTAATTAAAAAAAAAAAAGTTATTAGCAGGAAGAAACATATTAAATAATTTAAATTAATAACAAATTTCACTAAGTTTCCTACAATTAAAAAAAATCATTCGCTAGATCAGGGTTTCTTAAACTTTTTTCAGTTGAAACCCTTTTTTATCACTGAAATTGTTTCGCGACTCCCAAAACCCCATAATATTTACAAACCTTTTGTGAGATGCCATAAGTATTGTGCAAATACGACACATGAACGAGTTAAACTATCAATTTTTTCACTTGTACTGTAATATACTATTGCAGTTTTAGGTCATTAAATTTTAATTTTAAGACAGAGAACAATGTGAAAATTTTAAATGAGAGACAGATGAAATGTCAGCGTCAAGTGCAAAGCAAGGAAAATGAACGTTCATATTATAAAAAGAATGCGTCGAAATGTTTTCGTTTTTTTCTTTGTATGTATTGTCTTATCTTTATCTATGTTCAGATACATTGTGTAAAAATATTTGAGAATTGTAAAATTATTATAATAAGTTAAAGAAATATCAAAACTGGCAAAATTTTTGCTGACCCTCTGCTGCAGGTCCCGCGACCTCCTTAGGGTTGTGACTCGCAGTTTAAGAAACCTTGGCACTAGATCATACAAGCAAACTAATTATAAAGCAAGATTAAAACATTTTAAATTCTAAAATCTTTAAAGAAAATAAGATTTTGGAATTTTCAATAATCTATATACAGTACAAAGTCAGAGATCCGGATATCCAATATCTGGAATGATCTAAAATACAGACCTTAAAGTCACTAACAAAATTTTTTTTTTTTTTTTTAAGCTTTAACATGCACGTTTGATTTTTGCCCTGATAATAAAACATGTAGAGAATCCCAATTCTTAATTTCACTTCGGCACTAGATAAAATACCTCATAATTGAAGAAACAATCACTTTAGCATAAATTTGTGTGATCAATAATTTGACTCCGTAGCTACTTATATTCTCGGCATACATCTCAAATCAAAACATTCTATATAGAAATACTGTTGATTTTACAACTGCTAATATTTTATATCCCTGACAGAAATGTGGCGAATCTTTATTTGTTATATTTTGCTTTCTTCACCATATGTTTATCAACTCAATGACAACTTGAGTACTGCTGACTCACTCAGCGATACCTAAACAATTCGTTTTATATTAGTTATTGAATAAGAAAGAGTATAAAAACCTTTTATGTTGACATTACACTTGGTGACAATTACAAATTTAAGTTAAATGTGCTAAATGGTGACGAGGAAAAATTTAACAAACATTTCTTTCTATATGCTAAAAACAGATTTTGTTAATAATGCTCATAAACCAAAAGATTACATTTAGTGCTATTTGATTAAGAATAATTAACATTTTATTCACATAAATGCAGAACCGGCGCCAGAGCTCATATGGCTGCATTGGGCAACAGAATTTAGGGAAGACAAAATTTTTGGAATTTAGAGAAGCAGCGAGTAACAAAATTAAGGGATAATGAAATTTTTAGAAATTAGGGAAAGAACTGGGACCTAAAATTAAGGGATGGCAAAAATTTAGAACTTGGGGAGGTGCTTGGTAGCAGGATTTAGAACCCACAGAGACTGCATCAGGTTACAATATATCCAGCACCGGCCTTTAGTAAGCTCAAGTATATGCAGGACTTAATAATTAATTTAGGACTCGGATAAGCTTTAAACATGTGCAAGAAACAGACGTAAGTATAATAACTAAATTAATACAATTCAGGCTTAATTGTCTCAATGCATGATAGAAGCAAGACAAAATTTAATGGAATAACTGGTCTTTCATCGCCAATTTTATGTTACATAACCAATAATGTGTAGCAGAGTTAGTTAAGCCAGGCTAAAATTATACTTTACTCATTCCAAAGAATTACAGTCAATATAGCAGATTGCGCTGTTCCTTAACTTTCTGATTTGATCCAGCTAATTAATTCTTTGCTTGCTGTTATAATTACAGCAATTTTAAGAAAATTAAAGTTTGAACTCTCGATAATATTGAGAAAAGTTTTTAATTCCAGAGATGTAACAGGATCTACAAAGCGGAAGCATGTTTTGATGTCCATTACACAAAAAGTGAAATTGCTGCCAAAAAAATTGGATATACGCCCTTCTAAAAAATATGCGAGGAGCATAGCAAGTCAACCGTTTATCATACAAGAGAAAAAGAAACTTTATGAATTTTTTGTGGATTCCGACAACCCACTCGCAATGAACAACAGCTATGCTAAAAGTGCTAAAAGTTTATTCGCTATGCTAAAAGTGATGATTATGACAAAACGATGATTGAATAGGTCAGACAGTGTCACGTGCCATTGACGGGTCCAATGCTAATAGCTCAAGCCAAAATATATAAAAAAATCCACTTAAAAACTGAGTGCATGTATTCAACAGATTGGTTAATCAAATTTTAATTGCCCAGTATAATGCAATTAAAAATTTCATGTGAAAACGTTTCAGCTGATATTGAAGCTGCTGAACTACGTATTTCAGGGGTGTTTGTGGGACCCCCCAAAATCCCCTGAAACTTTTACGGACTTACTACCGACATTTTGGAGTTTCGAGGAGGGGGAGAGAAATGAAAAATTACAATTATGAAGTATTGAATGACCTAATTATAAAAGTTCAATGAATTACTTTTTTTGCAAAATTAATAACCATAAATTTTCAAACATATAACTACTACATTTTATGTAAATATTTTAAATTACCTGAATTAATTCTTTAAAAAAATTATCTAATTTCTGCTGCTTTTTTTTATTTTCTGATGTTTGTGGGCTTGTCTTTCTTTTGTGGTGAACTTCATAATTGCAGGAAGGTTGACTTTTATTTTCCTCATTTACAGTTGAAGAAATTTCCCCGAGAACTGCACACGCAGAGGTAGAAGCAGTTTGCTTTTCTGCTAATGTAGAAGGTTTTTCAGACACTTTTATAGGTGACTCATCTGAAATACATATTTTTAAGTCCTCTTGATATGTTTTCCAACTTCTGTTCATATTCAGTAAGAGATCTTTGTGAATTGGATCAGTCATTGAATTTTTTTAGCCATATTTTTCACATGAGGTTTCTTTAGAAGCCATTAAATCATATTTAATAGTCTGCACAGCATCTAGGGAATCAATCTTAAGAGAGGTTCTATAGTCAGTGACAAGTGTATCCATTAAGTTGAATGCACTTTCCACTAATGGGCCATGGAAGCAGCTAAGGCAGGCTTTGACCAATTTAGCCAATGTAAGATACTTATAATCATTTGTGAAATCATCTTTTAAATTAAAAACTTTAGACCAATATTTATCAATTGTACACTTGACTTGATTTTCACTTTCATCAGATGTGTAGAGCATTTCTTTGGTGATATCAATATCACTCTGGTATAACCTTATTTCAGCTTCTACTTTTGACTTTTCATTATCACTAAAAATATGGGACATAAAAGATGATAATTTTTCAAAAGCTAATATTGTACTGGTTTTACCTCTTAGCTCTGGATCTAATGCTGTAAAACTAATTAGATATGAATTTTTAAAGGGTAATTTCTGTTTCATATGCTGTGCTGTATTAGTATAAGCTTTCATCAAAGAAATTTGGAATTCTTTTGCTAGTGGATGATTTTTTGATAATTTCTTCAGGAGAGTGGAAGCTTTTGCACTAGTAAATATTACTTTGCTAGGTAGATGGAATTCTGGATTTGTGACGTCAACCTTTAACAAATCATTATAAGATGTGTACTCTATATTTTCTGGCTTCATAAAAAAAGAGAAAAATTTTGCCATCAATTTATAAATACTGGAATGTATTAAATGAAGCGTTGGTTTTTTTGTTTCAAATAATTTAATATATGTGTTGAACTCTGGTAATACTGCTGAATATAATGCCATAATGCAATAAAGTTTTTGTTTTGCATAACAAATAACCCATTTAGTATTCTTTTTTTTTTCCAAGCTAAAGCATCCTTTGTGAGTTGTTGGGAATGCAAGCAAGAATACACCCCTTCAACAAATTTTTTCTGAGCTGCAGAAATATTTCTTTATTGTATACAGTTTTTCAACATAAAAAAATAATCCCCTTTATCAGTTTTATCCAAGTAGTGAAAATAAATGCATAAGAGCATCTCATAGATCTTTGATTCTTTCTAAAACACATAAAATGTACACCCACCTATGGTCTGGTCTCTTCAAGGGCTTAAGTTTTTAATGGCAAGGGATTCACAGATTTTGAAAATTTTTTCTTTTTACTGCAGCTTTTCATATCAAAATAGATGTCATCAAACAAATCTTCTAAGTATCTATCAAAACTGAAGCAAATTTTTTGCACAGTTATTAGCTGTGGACATGTGTCACCATCAATACCTAATAAGTGGGGTGCTTTGTTTGATCATAGTCTGGTTTCAACACCCCTTTTTTTTTCCCCCGCATGGTGTTACATGAGTCCATTAATACTAATTAAGTTTGCCCATGGAATATTATTATCTCAATAGTATTAACAACTGCTTTAAAAACTGCTTCTGAATTGCAAGATTCCATCTTTAGAGATGCAAATGATGAACTACAACTTCATTTTGATTGTTGTCATAAAACTGCACCAATATTGCCAGTATACTTTCATCCAAATTTAGAGAAAATGGAGTCTCCTTTAAAAAGTTTAATGATATTTTCCTTAATAGTTTTTGCAAGCCCATATTTCATCTTTAACATGCAGTAGTCCTGGACATTTCCAACGGTTTTAGTGCCGTCTGATCGCGGCTCAAGTGTTTGCAGAGTTCAATTAAATGGGAGCTACATTGAAAGAAAGAGAATTCTCGGCGAAAACGAAGTTATTAATACCTCTTGGCGTGCTTTTCTGTCACTATATCCAATGGCCGAGCATCAGTCTCCAGTAAAGTCATCATAGTTTTTTTAATTAGCATAATTACTTAAAGTCATTGAATGTCTATTTCACTTGAATATTTATGTGCGTCACAGTTTAGAA